TATATATATATATATATATATATATATACTGGCAAGTTTAGATTGTAACAACTACTTAGTTATGGCTTTCATAATTAATATTTCATGGGTGTGTATTATGTTATAGATTTACTCTGGGCTTGACGAAACTTCTCCTAAACTTTTGGATCTCTGTCATAAAGAAACTTCCTCTCAATCTGTGACATCTTCTGGAAATCATATGTACATACACTTTAGGAGTGATGTAACAGTCAGTGGAAGAGGTTTTGATATTTCGTACAGATCAATAGAAAATGGTCAGTCTGTTTTTTTTTTGTATTTGTATTACTGTTTTTTTGTTTTTTGGCAAATAATGTATGAGACCAATATATAAAGTAGTTTTTATTTTTTTGTAATTCTGAACAATTGGAAAAACACTTTAAAAGTAGTCCTATCCTAAAAATGAAAGTATACGTATTCTGTTATTTCGTAGAACAAACGGTCTAAATTAGTAGTAGTTATATTTTTAAATACCTAAACTTCATACATCTTGCTATTTATAAAATTAAGGAAAACCTATTTAAATTTTAAACTGTCATTTGAAATGAGAATACTGCATAATATTGTCTATTGTTTTGTGTTAAAGAAATTTACTTGACCAAATGGGTAGAAAGATTATTAATATTTTTTGTTCAAATAAAGTATAGTTTTTCACTCTTTATATAAAAAGGTTATTTATTCATCCACAAAACTGTCTCATAAATATTTATCTTTACTTATCTTATACGTGCTATTTACTACTTTGTTTGCACTATCATGATAATATGTTTAAAATCTATAACAGTAATACTACTTTGCTTGTGTTTTGTGTGAGAATTTATTTTATATACGCTGTGATACATTAAACATGTTTATTTATACACCTGTTCTAACAAACAGCCCCCTCTCAATGTTTAATTAGTAAACTTGGAGCTTATAATGCTTAAATATATGGAGTATATCTTTGTAATGTACACAACAGAGACAGCTCATCATATGGTTTTTGTGTTTAATGAAAAACAATCTAACAATCAGATTGTTGTCTCCACATCTTAAATATGTATTTTAAACAGAAGTTGGTAATGTGTACAACTGTGCTAAAAAACTTGGGGGCAAAAGCTGTTCATAACTTCTTTCTGCAGTTGTGTTTTTTTCATGTTAAGATATTTTTTCAAAGAATTGTTTCTTTACAAAACATTTTCTGGATAAGAATAGAATGATCCTTACATATTAGAACTTCTTCGTTATAAAGGGGAAATATATTTCCTAGTTTGTTAAGATGAACAGAAAAAATAATCCTATCTTGAGAGTCATTACAAGCATGGTGTAATTGTTATATAATGTAGCTATGTTGTATATTTTGTTCTACCTGTTTTGGAAAGTGAAAGTTTATCAGGGTGTATGAAATGTGGAGTAGTAAGAAATAATAACAGAAGTTTTGTCTTCTATTTAGAAATTCATTTATAAAAGAGAAGGGGCACATACAAATGTGTTATGGGAAAGAGAGGGGGCACATACAAATGTGTTATGGGAAAGAGAGAGGCACGTATAAATGTGTTATGGGAAAGAGAGGGGGCACATACAAATGTGTTATGGGAAAGAGAGGGGGATGTATAAATGTATTATGGGAAAGAGAGGGGGCACATACAAATGTGTTATGGGAAAGAGAGGGGGATGTATAAATGTAT